CATAACATCATTTTTTATGGTTAGTTAGCATAATGTTAAAGTTGCAGTTCACTCAAGAATTAAAGGCTGCCAGTCGAAGAAACAGCAGAAACAGAAATATTCTTTTGAAATACTACATGCAAAGTCAATAAATTGGCTGGCGTTGTGTGTCAGACATCAAGAGGACATTGATACTACAGATTCATACTACAGAGCCAATAAATTATATTTGAATTTTACTTAACACTATAAATCTGAATGTGGGAGGGACAATGAACTTTACCTTCTTAAATGTAGCTTTGTTTGAAACTTAATATTTATTGCACACATGAACAGGAAACCTATTGTAAATATGAAAAGATACCATCTCGAAAGTGTCTCTCTGTTGAGAGCTGTGATTTGTTTGTACAATACACGGAAACTGAGAAAAAGTGTACTCATGAAAATTCTAGTAGTGATCCATGACAACAACTGATAATGAAGATAATATTATTTGTTAAAGTCAACATTTTAAGACAGTTTAATTATTTGCAAAATATGTTGGTATGTGACGTTTGTGGCCTTCTATGACAGTGGTTTGCTTGCCAGAATCATCTGAAGATGTGGTTAAAATTCAATAAATTCTTTAGCACGAGTAAGAAGAAAATTTAAATAGTAGGAAATTATGCTGTATAGGACATTTGGTTCAAAATTAACAGTATTTTAGCAAATTAACACTCAAACTTTGAGCAGTTTGTGCCTCTAAAGAGTTTGAGTATGTCATGTGATATATAATGTATAATTATGAGATATAAGAAGGAAATGTATTTCAGGTTTATTTTTAGTACCTTGTTGTATCAGTCTAAAGAAACTATACACACCCACTTAGCTCCTCTCAGCAAAAAAACAAAAACAAAAAAAACATCCATATAGTGACCCATTCATAGTGATCTATTGTTTTGGTCGATTATTGATGAAATGCCTCAACTTCTGTTTTCTGTCAATTTGCCAAAGTTTTTTATATTATTATTATTACTATTATTATTATTATTATTATAAAGCATTAAACTGCTCTGTGTGAGATTTTTAAAATGACTTTTAATAGAATTTCTTGGTAAGTAACACAGCACTGTAAAAAATGTTTTCTCAGGTAACCAAGAATGTTAATCGTTTAGTCAAATCAAATACAAATAGCACATTAAAGTTATTGGACTGTACAGGTTGTACAGCGCTGTACAGGTCTGGTATAAATGTTTTTGCTCAGGTGGCTGAAATGTCCACCCAATAGAGAAAGTTTTGCTCAGCAAGAAAAAAAAATAGAATAGGAACATTGCT